AGGTGGACACGCGTGGCATGACATGCCATGAGCATACCCTCCCTCAACCACACACACACACACACACACACACGCACGCACGCACACACGCAAACACGCACGCACACACACACAAACAAACACACACACGCAATCACACACACACACGCACACAGAGCAGAGCAAAAGCTGTGCACCTCAACGGCGACGGTGACGCGGACGGGATTGCGGAGACCAGCGCGCACAAGCAGCTCCACCTCCTTTGTTTGTGTTGCGGAAAAAAGGCCCGTGCGGCGCTGCTTTGGAAGGACAGCAAGGATCTCATTGAGAGTCGTTTTGAACCCCATGTCAAGCAGTCGGTCGGCCTCGTCCATCACAAACACCTGCGCGGTGGGCAGGGGAGAGGTTGTTGTGCGACGTGTGCACGTGTACGTGTTTGTGTACATTCGTGAAAACGAGATTGTACAAATAGTACAGGTGTCTGCATATGTGTCCGTATTCATGGCCTTGCGGTTGTTCTCCTTCACAACGCTTCACTGCCCCTTCCCAGCCCACATTCCCGCCCAAACGGCCCCCCAACCACCACCACCACCACCACCACCACCACCACCACCACGCACCCACACCAGAAATCGCACCTCCAGCAGCTTGATGTTGGTTGCGAGCGAGGGCACCCGTTTGATGAGATCATTGAGGCGGCCAGGCGTCGCCACAATGATGTTTGTGCCGTGCTTCTCCATGCTGACAATGTCTGTTTCCGCATCCTTTCCGCCTGCGCGCGTCAAGTGGATGTTTAGCGTGGTTGTGAGCATTTGCACATGCACGTGGGTGATCATCGGTTGCATGAAAGCAAAAGAAACGGAATGGAAACCCAACGCATCTCCAACACAATCAACCAAGCAAGCAAGGACCGTTGCTGTGCACCAGCGCGCGTACCCGTGATGAGCACGTGTGTGAGTGGTGAGTCTTTGAGCAAATCCGAAAGCACATGGTGCGTTTGTTGTGCGAGCTCTCGTGTGGGACTCAGCACAATGCAGCCCACCGCCATGCGAGACCTGTGCAGTGTTGGCGATGGGCGTGGGTTGGCGGGTGAGGGATCGTACAAAGGGTACACACACACACACACACACACACACACACACACACACAAAGCATTACACACAAATGCATACATACATACATGCACGCACGCATTCACACACACACGCTCGCAAGCACGCACGCACTGCCGCGCCTCTGTCATTACTTTGGAGGGGTTCGCAGCAGCATTTCTACTGCCGGGATGAGAAACGCCAGCGTCTTTCCAGAACCCGTCACCTAAGCGAGCACATGGACAAAGATGAGCAAGCAGGTAACATGGGCAGCAGGAATTTTCAACACAGACCCCATACGGGGCACCAACAAGTATATTTACAGAGACGCACAAGCACGCACAAACACACACACACACACAAGCACACATACGTACAGCTTCTGCTGCAACATCTTTGTATTCCAAGAAGAGCGGCACACACGCCGCTTGCACTGGCGTCATCTGCGCGTAAAAGCACATGCACAGCGTGTGCGTGCATGAGTTGCTGAGCATCACGCACGCAAGCAGGGTTTACCATTGCAATGAAGGCACACACACACACACACACCTGGTCGAATTTCCAGGCACGCAGGCGCGTCAGGATGCGTTCATCCAGCTTTAGTGGAGTTCCATCGCTGTGCGTTAGCCGCTCCCATTCGCCAGCGTTGGCTAACACAGCAAGGATCGACGACAACCACAACGGCAACAACAGGTGCCATCACAAACAAAAACCATTCGTCAGCAGCCCCATGGTCATACACACACACACACACACACATACACACACACACACACACACACACACACACACACACACACACACACACACATACAAGAGATGCTCACCTGTAGCTTCCAAAGGAAGGGCACTTGGTGTCGGCTGTGGCGTTGGTGTGCTCTCAACTTCCTCCTCCTTTACGTCTGCATCAGCGGCATCAGCCACGTGCTGCTTCTTGTTTCCTTTGCGCCCCATGATACTCTATCGATTGATTTGCTCGATTTGCGCGATAGCTGTCATGGACACCACAAAATGTAGCAATATCACCCAGCGCAGCCCCACCAGCCAAACGATGCATCGGCTGCTGCTGCTGTTGTGTTGTTGTGCTGTGGCCCTGGTGCCACGCATGACGGTGGCAGAGGATGTGATCTGGGCTGAGAGCGTTGATGGATCTTACAGCGATGGCCTGAAGTGGGACCCACAGTACCCTCCTTGCGGCGACAGTCGTGCCGTCTTGGTCAGTCCACCACCACCACCGCTCATGTTGACGAGTTGTGTTTGCTTTGTCGTTGTGACTGTAATGTGACACAGCAAGCATGACATGCCATTTTGGGACCGTGTGAGTGTCCGCCGCACCTTGTCACTTGCTTGTTGCCGCGTCCTTGCTTGCTTGTTTTCTGGCAATGATACGAGTGTGTATGCGTGTGCGTGTGCGTGTGCGTGTGCGTGTGCGTGTGCGTGTGCGTGCGCGTGCGCGTGCGCGTTTCGTGCGGCTGCTGCCTCCCACGCCCCGCCCCCTTTGAGGCTGACCCATGTCACTACCTTCCCCTTGCTTCCTTTCCCCTGCCGTGGACAGGCGGATCATGGCAATCCATACACGGTCACTGCTCGTGGTAACCAGTTTGCAGACACCATCGTGTTTGCGGGTGCCGGTGCCCTCCTGACGTTTGACGCCAACTCGTACATCCACTTTGGTGGTGGCGGCGGTGGTTCCGCCGCCGATGATGATGCCACCAACGACTCGGCTGCACCCTGCAACCGCCTGAATGTGGAGGCAGAGTCCACCGGTATCCAGACCGTGCGCGTGTCATGGACTAATCTCGGCGCCATGGCCACTTACAATGTCACCTACAACGGCGTGCCTGTCAACGTGCCGTCCGGAGCTTCCTCTGCCACCATCGCCGTCCCCTTCAAAGAACAGACAATCGTGTTTGTGGTGGCAGCGGACGTGGGTGTCTCGCGATCCAGAGCAACCGTATCCATCGTGCATCGTCCCAGCGACTTCAACACCGCCATATGGACCAGCAGCGACGACGGCCTGTGGGTTGACCCAACCAACTGGGCCGCGAAGCAGCTCCCCGAGTGCTCCAACAACATTCTCATGCAGCCGGTCGACGCTGAGGCCGGTACGATTGTGCGCGCAGCCCTGCCATCGGGGCTCACCCAGCCCATCGGCGCCACCATCACCTTCACGCCAAACACGTTTATCGCGTTTGGTCGCGGTTCCTACCTCCGCTTTGACGGCGGCACTGATCAGCAGCAGCAGCAGAATGATGATGATGATGATGATGATGACAACGAGCCTTGTCTTCCCGTGGATGGGGTGGAGGTGCGTTTTGTGTGTGTGTGTGTGTGTGTGTGTGTGTGTGTGTGTGTGTGTGTGTGTGTGTGTGTTTGTTTGCGTTTGTTTGCGTTTGTTTGCGTTTGTTTGCGTTTGTTTGTGTGTGTTTGTGCATGTGTTTGTATAAGTTGTGTGTGTGTGTGTGTTCATGTTCACGGCAGTGCCATGGTCCACTGTGCCCTTGAATCGGCTTCTTTTTCCTGCGTCCCACAAAGCTCGACATATTCTTCTCATTGCGCCCTGACTGTTACCCTGGCTGTTGCAATCATTCACTCGCCGCACGCGCTTGTGTCAGCTTTGGACGTTCACACCCAATATTGCCGTTATCGAGTGGACGGCAACTGCAACCGAAACCACCGCCATCTTCATTCGGTGTGTGCGTGTGTGTCTGTGTGTGTGTCTGTTTGTGTGTCTGTATGTCTTCGTGCGAATGCATTTCCACCCGCAGTTACGCTGTCCAACCACGAAATGTTACCGCACGCCACCCTCACACTTCTCCCCCTTGCCCTCTTCACGTAACATCATCCCACTTACTCCAAACCCCCCTCCCACCTGTTATTCATCACATGCAGCGCCGAGTCTCCCACCGCCCCGTCCGTGCTGAACACAACAACAACCACCGGCAGCAGTGGCAGTGCAGCCTACTCCATGTCGATTGAAGGACTGTATGCTGGCCACGAATACACGTTCAGCGTGTTTGCTGTCGCCACCGATGGCAGCCAAACCTTGGTCTTCTCCCGCACCCGCACCATGCCCTACTTTGGTCAGCTGCACGCACACACATACACACACACACATGAACAAGTAGAGCTGCATCACTGTACATGTCGCACAAGTGCACATGTACACGCACCACACGTATGCACGCACCACACGTATGCATATTCACACTCACATTCAAGCCGCACTCCCTTCCACACCGCTTCCCTTGTTCTCTCGTGTGCACCAACAGTCACTTACGATGGCAGCGAGGGCATGTCATCGGCAACGCCCGTGTGGATGGATGACGAGGCGTGGTTTGCACGGCGGCAGATTGGTCCGCGTGTCCCCCTCATGCGCCAACCGTGCGACGAGCACGTGCTGCTCATTAATCCGGACACAACATCAGACCTCGTGGTGGAGGTGGAAGCATCATCCTCCATCGACGACTCGCCGCGCATTCGCAGGTGCGACAAGTTTGCAAACACAACGCTAAGCAGCGAACTGCATACACTCACGCACACGCACGCTGTGTGATTGCCGCTGATTTGAAATCACACGCGCACGCATACTCGCACCCATATGCACACACACACACACATACACGAACGCTTTATCTTTAGTCTGACATTTGGGAGCGGAGGGACGTTTCTGGCGTTTGGCGAGGGCGCCTTTATCCAATTCGACGGGGTGCGCTGCATCACGACACAACAAGCATGCACTGAAGCCATGTGTGATTGTGTTGATGGCCTTGCTAGTCGTCTCTGTGTGTTGAGCTGCGCATGTGCATGTGTGCTTGAATGTACTGACTGGATGGACACATGTACATGCTCACCTCTGTATATTGCGCCACATGCATTGTCGTTATCTTGGTTCAGGCCACGGATGCGCAGGCGGATGGGTGTGAATCCGTGGACTTCAGTGACGTTGCATACACGACAACAACAAGCACAACCACCACCACCGCAAGCACAACAAGCACAACAACGACGACGACAACCACCACCACCACCACCACCACCACGGCGACGACAACGACAACAACAACAAGCACCACGACTGACACCTCCACCACCACCACCACAACAACAACAACAACAACAACAACAACAACAACAACAACAACAACAACAACAACAACAACAACAACAACAACAACAACAACAACAACAACAACAACAACAACAACAACAACAACAACAATGGAGGCCCTGACAACGACACCACCAACAACAACAACGACGACGACGACGACGACGACGACGCTTGGACCACGATCGTCGCGGCTGGAGCTGCTCATGGACCTGCCGCCAGAGGACATTGACGAACTGTACGCCGACACACTTGCACAACACGCACACACCTGCATACATGGACGCTCACACATTTGCACAACACGCGCTAACACACACGCACACACGTGCATGCATGCACACTGATACGCACGCAAGCATACGTATACCCCGCGTGTTTGGCGAATGTATCCTTCCTACCTCCTACGTTGCCGATGCTGCTCACATTTCTCTCATTCTCACCATTCGTCCCTCCCTCCCCACCACTGCAGAGCGCTGCGATTTGCACTCTCCGACGCGCTCAACACGCGATTGGGGATGGAGGCATTTGCTGAGGATGACGTCATTGTGCACATCTCCTTCAACCTCAACGACAGGTGCCTGCATGCAACCTGATGCTCGCTGGCATGCATTGGGCGTGACCTCCTACTTGTGTTCCCCCACACTGCAACATCACCTCTTTGGCAGCATGTTTTATTTGCGCAATCCACGGCCATGCACCTTCACTCATTCATTTGCTCGTTCACCCACTCCTTACTGGCCCGCATCTTCCATTCTATCATCACGCACGCACGCACACACACACACTATCCAACACAAACAACCGATACTGTTTCAGGCGGCGTGCCGGGTCATCAAATGTCATCGTGTTCCTCACGGCTCCGAGCCGCGCCGTCCACAACAACGCATTCTGCCAGACCCTGGTGAGTTAGTGGTTGCAGTTGTGAACGCCGTGTCAGTAATGTGTTGTGGCTTTCTGCTGCTGCGCTGTTGCTACGCTGCTTTGCAAACTCGCTCATCCACACACACACACACACGCACACAAACACACACGTTCACACACACACAAACACGTACACACACACGTATTCACACACGGTGTTTAGGAGCTGTTCCCAATTGGCGAAGGCACATCGAATCTCGTTGCACAGAACTACCAAGCGCGCACGGGCGTTGCTGCGTCCATCACCATCACAGCACTCATGGGATGCCCAGACTGCAGCTGCTCAGGCGGCGAGGTGTGTCTCTGCAATTCTGTGTGTGTGTCTCTGCAATTCTGTGTGTGTGTGTGTGTGTGTGTGTGTGCGTGCGTGTGTGTGTGTGTGTGTGTGTGTGTGTGTGTGTGTGTGTGTGTGTGTGTGT